TTTGGCCGATAGCCTCGTGCGCAGCCTTTGCACTTCGGCCTGAAGGTGACTCATCTCCGAATGGTGTGCTTGCCTCGCCCGCGTCATCAGAGAACAGAAATCGCTGTCTTTCATGATGGCAGCCTCATCTTTGTCACCGCGCAGAACGGACGCGTCAGCCGCCAGCGTGCACGTGTCCAGTGCTGAAGTCGGGCATGGATGGACGCCTTCGGGTGCCAACATTGAGCAATGCCGCTGTGATCCACAAATCGCCCTTGAATGTGTGCAAACCTGATGCAAAGTGGCTGATGAGGAAGGATGTGGAGAGAGAGTGTCGCGCAGACCGTCTAAAAGTGCATTCGCGATGATATCTGCAGGCCTACGTCCACAAGCTGGCTGGACGCTGCCCGCAACGGTGCGCACGCAGCTTCTTACAATTGGCTGACTCAGAAACGTCCCTCGCTCACCGCATCTGCCCTGGCACGTCACAGGCCCACTGCGCGGAGTACGAAAAGCCTCGTTCAAGCACAGCCCACGAGCCTCCAAGAGCCCCGAAGAGCACCCCGAGACGGCAGCCCCGAGTTTAAGACAGCCTGGGAGGCTCCCACGAGGCACCCAGCAGGCGCCCAGGGGGGGCCCAAAACGCCCCCACAATGGCCCCACGGCTCCTAACGCCACCAAACCAAAAGGAGCCCCAAAGACGGACAGGGAGGCCCGGAGACTCCAAAACGCAAGTGGGAAGCTCCCGATAGAACCCCAGAAAACCCTCAAGCACAACATTCTCCATGACATGACTCTCTCTCTCTCTCTCTCTCTCCCTCTCTCCCTCTCTCCTGCCAAGCCCGCTCCTAAGTTACTCATGATCCTTCTCCCTCTACACGTCCAGAGCAGAACTCGACACATAACCACACCATGCCATACCAGAGCAGGCCAAACCAAACCCCCTCATCACCCCATTCCACGCCCCGTCGACTCCATTCCCTCTACTCCTCATCCTCCTCATCCCCTCCTTCTCCCCAACCCGCTCCTCCACCCCGCCGCATCATCATTTCATACTCCCTCCCTCCGCCCAACTCCTTCGTTCTCCCAACTATCCTGTGGTGTCGGGTCCTCGTTTTGAAAAGACAGCGCCCCGCGTCACTCACTCCTTCTTCCTCCCACATCCTCCCTCCTCCCGTCCCTTACACTCCTTACACGTTTCGTGGTCGCATAAGGAGCTCCACCGCAGGCCCCAGTGGCAGGGTTTGCATGCGGTTCCACCTCGATCTCGGCACACCCCTCACACGTTTCGTGCCACCACAGGGAGCTCCGCCGAGGGCCCCAGTGGCAGGGTTCGCGTGCGGCTCCACCTCCAATTTCGACACACCCCTCACACGCTTCGTGGCCCCATAGGGAGCTCCACCGAGGGCCCCAGTGGCAGGGTTCGCGTGCGGCTCTACCTCCAATTTCGGCACGCCCCTCACACGCTTCGTGGCCCCATAGGGAGCTCCACCGACGGCCCCAGTGGCAGGGGTCGCATGCGGTTCCACCCCGATGTCGGCACGCCCCGCACACGCTTCGTGGCCTCATAGGGAGCTCCACTGAAGGCCCCAGTGGCAGGGTTCGCATGCGGTTCCATCCTCATTCCGACACACCCCTCACATGTTTCGTTGCCCTGTAGGGAGCTCCACCGAAGTCCCCAAGTGGGGTTCGCATGCGGCTCCACCTCCAATTTCGGCACACACCTCACACGTTTCTTGGCCCCACAGGGAGCTCCACCGGCAGGGTTCGCATGTGGTTCCACCCCGATTTCGGCACGCCCCTCACATGTCTCGTAGCCCTACAATGAGCTCCACCGAAGGCCCCAGTGGCAGGGTTCGCATGCGGTTTCATCCTCATTCCGGCGCACCCCTCACACGCTTCGTGGCCACATGGGGAGCTTCATCAAAGGCCCCAGTGGCAGGGTTCGCATGCGGTCCCACCCTCATTCCTGCACACCTCTCGCACGTTTCGTGGCCCAAGAGGAAGCTCCACCGCAGGCCCCAATGGCAGGGTTCGCATACGGTTCCACCCCCATGTCGGCGCGCCCCTCACACGCTCCGTGGCCCTAGAATGAGCTCCACCGACGGCCCCAGTGGTAGGGTTCGCATCAGATTCCACCTCGATTTCGGCACACACACACACACACACACACCTCACACGCTTCGTGGCCCCATAGGGAGCTCCAACGACGGCCCCAGTGGCAGGGTTCGCATGCGGTTCCACCCCTAATTTCGGCATCCCTTCAGACGTTTCGTTGCCCTATAGCGAACTCCATCGAAGGCCCCAGTGGCAGGGTTCGCATGCGATTCCACCCCCACTTCGGCTCATCTCTCATGCGTTTCGTGGCCCTATAGGGAGCTCCACCGAAGACGATACTCACAACCACGGCACTCACAACTGCAGATGACCGGGTCCTTCGCCAGGCTAATTCCGCAACGCTCTCGACCCCCCATCCTTGAGGGCCCCGATCAGGTGCGGTGACATACCGTTCGGTGACCTC